CTGTGCCTCTCTCAGCAGCGAGTGACGGACTTAGTATTTCTTTTAGCCACGGGGTAGTTCCTGGTGCTGTGAGGAAGCACGAGGCTGTTGCTCCCTTCCGTCTTCTTTAAACTGGCAAAAGAGAGAACCAAATCAAAGTTGCTTTAAAAATAAGATGTGTGAATTTGCGAAACAGGAGCCCCAGGTCCAGGAGAGCAGGCTCCCCACTGTGTTAATTTGGCAGCCCAGCGAGGTCACTGGAGACTCGGGCTCCTTCTGTGTTTTGTCCACAGGACGGGCCTCCTCCTAAGGCAGGTGTCCCCAAGGCCAGAAAGCTGGCTGACCACAGCAGCTGGGCAGCCTGCTTCCAGTTCATGACCTGTGGGGTCTCTTCGGTGTGTTGCTCTTAAGATCAGGAACATTTTTGGGACTTCCCTGGTGGTGCAGTGGTGAAGAATCCTCCTTCCAATGCAGGGCACGTGGGTTTGAGCCCTGGTCCGGGAAGATCCCACATGCCGCAGAGCAACTAAGCCTGTGCGCCACAACTACTGAGCCCGCGCTGTAGAGCCCGTGTGCCGCAACTACTGAGCCTGTGTGCCACAACTACTGAAGCCCATGTGCAGCAACGAAGATCCAACACAGCCAAAAATAAATAAATAAATGAATTTATTAAAAAAAATAAAAGATCAGGGACATAGGGACATTTTCCCCAAAGGCCTCCCCATCAACCTCTCCATCTTTGTCTCATCCTTGAACCAGCCACTGCCAAAGGGGATGGCATTAGATCATTGGCCCTGATTAATCCTCTGGGGAGGAATAGATGGACTCTGGAGAGTGGACCATAGTGCCCCCTGCCGTCTCCCCAAATTAACAACTCCTATTCATCTTTGGTAGGCAGAATAATGCCCCCCCAAACACCCACATCCTCAACCCCAGAACCTGTGAATATGTTACTGTACGTGACAAAAGGGGCTTTGCAGATAAGATTCAGCTAAGGGTCTTGAGATGGGGGAGATTATCTTGGATTATTAAGGTGGGTCCAGTACAGCACAAGAGTCTTATAAGAAGGAGGAAGGAGGATCAGAGTCAGAGAAGATGTGAGGACAGAAGCAGAGGTTAGAGAAGACTGAAGTTGGGACAACACTGACTTTGAAGGTGGGGGAAGGTGCCAGGAGCCAAGGAGTGCAGGCAGCCGGTAGAAGCTGGAAGAGGCAAGGACACAGATTCTCTGGGCCTCCAGAGGAACGATGCCCTCCTGACACCTTGATTTTAGCCTGGTGAAATTGATTTTGGACTTCCAATTTCCAGAGCTGTAAGATAATAGCCGTGTGCTGCTTTAAATTAAAATATTGATAAATTTAAATTTAATATATTTAAAATTAAAATTTAAGTTTGTGATAATTTATTACAGCAACAATAGAAAATTAGATACACAACAGGGTCCTACTGTATAGCACAGGGATCTACATTCAATATCTTGTAATAACCTATAATGGAGAAGAATCTGAAAAAGAATATATAGATATGAATCACTTTGCTGTACACCAGAAACTAACACATTGTAAGTCAACTATACTGCAATGAAAAAAAAACCAATACACCATTGTTTCTCCAGGCTGACCTTGAATCAGCATAGACCTTTTGTAAGATAATAAGGATCTTGTATTCATTCTGAGTCTTCTGTTGTGTGCCAAAGATGATACACAAATATTTATGTGTTAAACGAAAGACAAACCCAGTCCCTTGCTCCACCTCCAGGTACAGCAAAAAAGTGCTCTCCAAGTGGTCCACGTTGGTTTCTTCAGTCTGTACCAGTGCTGGGTGCAGGGAAAACGGGAAACAAGTAAGACCTTGTCCTTACTCGCAAACTGCAGAGTACATCGCAGTCGTTTGACTCCATAAATATTCTCTCTGTCAGCTCAGAGCTCTTCCCGATGTCGGCTCTGGCACTGTAACTAAAGCCAGCTCCCTCTGAAGCTTTTTCAAACCTGCTGATTTTTTTTGTTTGTTTTAGTTCTTAGCCAAGGGGTCAGGAAGAGCAGAAGACCCTGTGAAGCACATCCATGGATGGAGCTATTTTTAGAGGGCCCTGCGTGGCTGAGATCAGCAGCAAATTCTAATGGTTGGGTCCTGGGGTCCACGGAGGATGTCAGCTGCCTGTCTCCTGCCCTCGTGCCACTTGGACAGAGACACTGCGATTTGGGAGTTTGCTCTGGTTCTTCATTTCCTTCTGTCGCAGGAAGCCCTGTGCTGCAGAGCACGGTGGTGGGTTGCACACAGCATGTTGAGAAACTGCTTGTTCTCATCCCACAGCTCAGCTGTCTCTGGGAAGCCTAGGGCTTTCCTGGGGATGATAAATGACCAGTGGCAATGTATGAAAATATCTGGGAAGCTGACAGAAGTCGGGAGCAGAGAGATGGGGTTAGGGAGCTGAGCTTTGAGGTGATCTTTTCCAACTGCAGAATTTTATTTTGAGGAGACTCAAACTCATGGGTAATCGACGAAGCAGCTCTCGGTCACTTAGCTCTGTGTTAACAGCTTAGCAAAGATTGGAGCTTAGCTCCCGTGGTGCCAATTCAACAGTTCTAGGCTCGGGAACAAAAATTTGAGAGCTGGACCGTAAAGCCTCAACATCCATAAGAGTGTGTAGTTAGGTTAGCTCAGCGGAGTGTTTTGGGCTCTGCCCTTTCCCTTCTCCCTTTGTCTGTAGTAAGTGCCATGTGCTGAGTGGTTACATGCATGGACTCCGTAGATGTGGCCTGGGATAGAATCCCACTTACTAGCAGGGTGACGTTGGCCAAATTATGGAAGGCTTTCTTCCTGTCTGGGATGATAGTAACACCAGCACACCTGGGCTTGTTGGGAGGATTAAATGAGCTCACGTGTGCAAAGCACTCATCCCAGGGCCCAGCACATCCTCAGGTGTCTACAAACGACTCACTTCCTGGGACCTGACCGTCGCTCTCCAGCACTTCGGGTGACTGCATGCTCGTCCGTTGTGTGGCTGTGTCCTAGGGTCTATTCAACCTGCTCCCTAGAATGAGATGTTATTTCCAGTTTTTACTGCCGTAAGCAACATTTCCGTGACTGTCCTCATAGGTAAAGATTTGTTCTCACCCTTAATTGTTTCCTCTGGTAACATTTCTAGGAGTAGAATTGCTGGGTCAAAGAGGGGGCTTGTTTTTAAGGCATTTCTTGATAAATGCTGCCAACTTTTCCTCCAGCAAAGTGCTGGTTTACACTCTTACCAGCTGGGAATGAGTGTGCCCGTTTCCTTGCATGGCCGGGCTATTAACTTTTAATTAAATGAAGGCCCAGGAAAAATAAGAGGTATTTCCCTGCGGATTAAGTGTTCCTCGTCCTTGCTTATAAGCAATAAAGGCTTAAGAACCTGAAATGAGCCCAGAAGGCAAGTGGCTCATGTGAAAACAGCGCCCTCTACTGGTTTTCCCGGGTGGTGAGGTGCAAGCTACAGTGTAGATGGTGAGGCTCCGGTGGTCACTAACTCCTGGCAGGTGCCAGGAACTCTAGGGCAACATTTTACACTTCTGGCCATTTAGTAAGTCAGCCTCAGATGACCTTTCATTCTTACTCAGTTTCTTTTACAGAAGTGCTTCTCAACTGGGGGAGAGTTTGCTCCCCAGGGAGCCCTTGGTACTGTCTGGAAACATTTTTGGATATCACAGGCTGGGGGGCTGCTACTGGCTTTTGGTAGGTTGAGGCCAGGGATGCGGCAAACCATCCTACAACGCAAAGGACGGCCCCCTAACAAAGAATCGTCCTGCCCCTATGTGTCAATCGGGTTCAGATTGAGAAACCCTGTTTTAGAAGAATGGAAGAATTGCTCCAGAAGGCTTCTTTTCAGACTAAAATAAAATATAGAAATATTAAATATGTATCACCATTATTACTTTATTTTTTGGTTCTGGAAACCTGATCGTTTTGCAGAATAAAATGGAAAACAGGTGGAAGTGAAGCAGCGCACTGGCATTTCTAGGAGAGAAGGCAGAGTGGAAAATACAGCCCATAATAATGTCACAAGTACTAATAGGGGAGGGAATTTTTTTCCTATTAACTTGATTTGGTTAAACCTGCCATAAATTCCTGTGCTTCCCCTTGAAGGCCTTGTCTGTAAAAGAAATTAAATTTAAAAAAACACAGTGGTTTTGGGGACCCTTTTCCCTCTCATTTCATGAGCCCCAGTGTTTTCATAACATTTATAATTGTGCTTTCCAGTGCTTAGTGCAGAGTGACCATCTGCAGATACAGTCTACTTCCCCCTCCTCCACGCCCAAGTAAATGCTGATTTAAGCATTGTTTCTAAGGGGAGGAAGGAAGGGAACTTCAAAAATAATCTTAGAAAAGGGTGTGCCTGAAGGGAAAAGTATGACAAGAATTTCAGGAGCACTAAGCTGTATTTCCGTTTACTCGACATTTGCTGCGTTTGAGGACTTCTCTCTCTGGCGTTACCCAAACCCATCAAAAAACATACCCTGCTCTTTCGTCTTGCTTTAGCCCTGCTCTTCTCTACGTTACTTGTATTCTAGAATATGTGGCTTTATGGAGTGGCTTCATTGGTGGTTCTGAGTAATGCTAAGAGGATTATTTTGCCGGAAGTGGAAAAAATAAAACAAAACTACAGCTTTCCCCTAAATATCAGATACTATCTGTTTTAATCATTTTCCTTGAGAGGTACTTTTCAGACCCATGAGTGGGTTGTAAAATCAACTTCTGGGTCACAATCAGCATCTAAAAACCAAAAAAAACAGTAGAAAATATCAGAGGGTATCGTATATAGTAAAGGTAGCTTTTGTTTTGATGATGATTTCAAGATATGTAGCCATACGTAGATGTTTACGTCTGTGTACACAAGCCTGGTGAGAAGTCTGAAAGACCGTGGCTTGGGTTTTATGACATGGTGAAATCTGGCCAGTTTTGTAATTCTTTCATTGTCTCTTTAAGGACCTCAGTGAGTCCTACTTGTCTCCTGTCCCTCATGTTTGCTTCTGTTGCTTTTCCAGGTGGTACCAGGGAGATTGGCTCGGCCTTAACCAGGATGTGCATGAGGCATCGGAGCATAGAAGCCAAGCTGAGGCAGTTTTCCAGGTGAGGACCGTGTTTCTCCCAGACCTCAGACGCCCTTGCTGATTTCAGGTTAAGGAAGCGGTGAGACATAGCATAACTCGCCTCAAGCAGTACTGGTTTCCCCATAACGTTAAATCCCCACAGCCCATCTCTCATCACAGCCCGTCCCTCTGCGCACTCATTGAACAAGTATTTGACTGGGCATCTGCCAGACAGTGGTCTGGGCCCTGGGGCTCCAGTGAAGGACCAGACAGCCTGGGTCCCTGCCTCATGGAGCCTGCACCCCCCTCTGGGATCTTCTCTGTGTCTCTCCTCACACTCCATCAGTGTGAGGCGCCGAGCACCCTGCTGAGACCCCTGGGTCCTCCACCCCTGCAGGAACCTCATAGGAAGAGGAGCTGCCGTGCTGGAGAGTGAGGCGTGCACTGCCGCCCTGTTACCCGGGACCTGTGCATGTCCTCCAGGCCCGCCGAGGAGGGCGGGGGCGGCTCATAGAAACTTCCACGCTGCCAGCCTCTTGTCTGTTTCACAAGCATCCAGGATGGGTAGAAATGGCAGTGGCTGGCACGGGGGTCTGCAGTCACCAGTGTTCCAGTGAGAGTGGGACGTTCTCCCAAACAGATGAGCATAATTCAGCACTTCTGCACCGCTCTGCTTTGTGAATTGCAAGTTGCGTGAGAGGCTGTCACGGTGGAATCCCTCTGACCCTCTTGCAGGACCACCTCAGGAGGCTGCAGAAGGTAGTGGGAAGCACCTGGTCTTGGAGTCACCCGGGCCTAGGTTTGAACCCCGGGCTGGCCGCTGACAGGCCGTAATCTTGGGCTGGGCTCTCAGCCCCTGTCAGATGGGCGTAGGAATCTCTGAAGTGTTCTTGTGCAGATGCACGCAGTGTCCACGCAGTGGAAAGCACCTGCCGGAGCGTGTGATAAAATCTGGCTTCCTCCTTCCCTCCTCACCCCTGGGGAGTGCTCCCCGTGATGGCACCCCCTGCGCCTCCTCCCACACACGTCATCTTGTTTATTCTGGGGCCCGTCCTGTGACACCTCATTCCATTTTAGTGATGAAGAGACGCCAGTTCAACAGCCAGTGTGTATTGAGCAGCTACTATGTGCCGGCCTTGTCTTAGGTGTACAGGGCATAGCCCTGAGTAGGAAACACACCCTGCACTCATGAAGCTTACGCTCCAGACACTGTATAAACCTGATAGAGTGTCAGGCGGTGATGAATGACAGGAGAAGGAACACCCGGGATGAGGTGGGTGGCGGCTCTTGGACACAGGCTGGTTAGGGAGCGTCTCTGTTCAGAAGGAGGGTTTGGACAGAGCTGGAGGAAGTGAGGCCAGAGGATGCGCCTGCGAGGGGCATCTTACCACTAGGCCCTGGTAAGAGAAGAGGGGGTGGTAGCAAAAGCTTGGAGATTTTCAGGAGGCCCAGCATCAAAAAGCAGTCTGAGAATACCTTTGTTGCAGTTCTCACCAGTGCCATTCACACAGTTTATGGGCATTCTCTAAGTTCCCAACAACATCTCTGTAATGTAGGATCGGGTCGATCCTACTTCCATTGCACAAAAAACCCCGGCTCCCCTGACTCATGATCCCTCTCTGTTGGGAGCTACCTTTCCACTCATTTAACTGCAGTCTGTTTGGGAGTGCACAAAATAAGAAGGGATGTACCTGGAGACCCCTCACCCCTCTGATCCTGCCTAGGCTGTCCACAGTCTACATTTATGACTTATCCTGAATGCACGTCAGAATCATATGGGCCTTTTGTAAAAAAAGGTAATGCTGGCCCCCCATCCTCCAAGTTTCTATCAGGTATGGGGTGAGGCCCCGGTGTCCTCACCTTTTCAAAGCTCTCCAGCTGGTTCCCTTGTGCAGCCAGAGGTGTGACCCCACTGATCTGCAGCGTTGCTTGTTAATAGAGTGTGGGAATGGAAAAAGGGGGCCATGAGAAGAGGTCACTCCCACCAGTCACGGGTACAGCTTCTTAGCAGTCATTGAAAAGCCTCCTGAGGACACGGTTGCTGTGAAATTGGGGAATTTGGATGTGAACTGGGGCTTAGTATGCTGCCTTGTCTTGCTTCAGGTAATCGTGATTCAGGTACGTTTTGACAACTGAGTGTAAACCTTGACAACAGAATGTGTCTGTTTAATGTCTCCTTTTCTTTCTCCTTTGGTACAAGTGCTTTAATCGACTGTCTGATAAACCCACTTCAAGAGCAGATGGAAGAATGGAAGAAAGTGGCCAACCAGCTGGATAAAGACCACGCAAAAGGTACTGGGCAAGGCGGCAGATGCATATTAGTCCCAGGTGGCATGTTGCCGGCTGCTGCCTGTGGCTCTGCTGGGTTCATTGATGTCACCCAGAGGACCTGCTCTTTCACCGCTGCTGCTGTGGACATCTCAGTGTTGGAGGATGAGGGGTCAAAAGTGATCCCATTGCAGGACTCAGTGCTGGGTTTGGGGCATGAAGCATCACTCAGTGGGTAGCCTGATCGCGCTCTGTGACATTAATTGTGATCAGCTGAATTAAAAGTGATTTGTAACAGCAGGCTTAAATGCCAGAGATGCACTTAGGGCATTTCAGCACATTTTGAAAAGCAAACTTTTAATGATGTAAGCTAACCTTCAACCAGTGGGTCTCAGTACCTCATGTGCTAGGTCTGGGGACAGAATGGTCCAGGCAGACGCCACCCCTGTCAGTCTTCCTGGAGCCGAAGGGTGGGGTGCTGGTGGTACGGAAGGGGCAGGAGACTTTGCTCCACGGATCATACAACCTTCAGTAAGTGTGGTGGAGGGAAAGCGTGTGGGCAGATCTGAGGGGATGAAACAGGAAAGAGTTGACGCATAGGTGCTACCAAGAGCATATAAGAGAGAGCCCTGCTCTGATAGGCTCAGGGCTGGTGGGAGGGAAAGGTCGGGGATGGCTTTGTGGGAGCCGGTCCAGTTGGCGATTAGTTGATGAGGGCAGCAAAGGAGAGAAGTATCAGAGGTGACTGTCATTTCAGATGTTCATGCCTGGGTGACGGAGATGCCAACAACAGAAATGGAAAAGTCCAGGGTGGGTGTAGGCTGGTGGGGGAAGAGGAAGTGGCCGGTGGGGATGTGAGTCACGTGGGCCGCCCCTCCTCTGTGTCCACAGTGTCTGGCCTTGGTACTAATGTGAAAGTAAAGCAGCTGGGCCTTTCCCAGTTCTTTTCCATGCGGTCTAGTTTCTCCTGCTGTAGTCTGAGGGGCTCTTTTCTGAATTGTAACATCTGGCCAGCATCTTGCCATGTGGGTTCTTTTTGGAATGAAGCACTGTGGATTTGGGCCTTGGGAAAGTAGATAATACTGAAAATATTTCCTGATACTTAAGCTGAGAAATTGTGAATTTTAGAATTTTTATTAAAATGTTCCCAGGTACCATGTTTCCTCAAAGCTGGTATGAATGAATACTGTAGGGAAAGACCCCAGTGCATTTTGTTGGTTTTCGTGTTCATAGCCCCTTTGCTGTCAAAGGTCCTCATGAGAGTTTTATCATTTCGTATTCCAGTAAAGCTATTTATTGCATGTCATAGCTTATGCTTTTGGTGATGAAAGTAGTGGCTGTTGCTAAAGTGTTTTCTGTTGAGCTAAGTGGTAAAATTATTCAATATTCTGCTTTCTCTTAGAATATAAAAAAGCTCGCCAAGAGATAAAAAAGAAGTCCTCAGATACACTGAAACTGCAGAAGAAAGCAAAAAAAGGTAATTCTGCTGTTAATGTGTTACATTGGGGAAAATGAGCACGTGCCTGATTTTTCTTTGAAGTGGAAAGTCTTCAATCAGACTGCCTTACATGTAGTGGTCCTGTGAACAGATAGGAGCTAATAGAATCTATCTGAAGCCCCCAAGTGCAGAATATCTATTAATTTGAGACCCTTGCAAAGTTGTACTTGACTCATTCCTTCCCCCCAACCTGGTCTCCAAAATTTGACAGTTTCCATGCTTATTGTACATTGTGATGAGACCTGTAAATTTCTTGGAAGCCTTGGGATAATGCATAAAAGCCTCTTTGCAAATGTTGTATAGTAATTATTGCAGAAATGATGTCATTTTCTCCTCTGTCCTTCACAGCCTATAATCTCTGAAACCCTTTATTAAGTCTCGTGAGAATGCTAGAAAAGGCTGCAGTGGGAGCCGGGAATCATTGCTGTGTAGGGAGATTTTTCATGGTGCTCATGAGGGTGGGAGCTGGATAAGGAAAATGAGACTGCTGGTGCAAGATGCCCCTCCTCCCCCGCCAGCTGATTGTCATTTGCAAACCAGTTAATTATCAGATCCATGACCCAGCTTTGCTCTTCCGGCTTGAACTGGGAGTTTTAAGAGAAAAATCTAGCTCCATCGACTTTGAAAGCATTCGTAACATTTTACTAAGACCCAACAAGATGTAGGGACTCTCTCTCGAGCTTGAGCAGGTGACGTTCCCTCTAGACTAATTCTTCTTGATGCCACGATTTGGAATTTGCTGCATCACAACTGATAAAATGGGTATCCCCCCCCCCATCAGGATGCTCTGTGGGCGGGTAGTATTGAGCGTTTGTTTGAGACAACAACTTTTTTAGGTAGAAATCCCCAAAACCAAATTTCCTCTTTCCTAAGCAAGCAGTTCTCATTTGGAATTAAAAGAAACATCTGGAGAGATGGGATTCTTTGGTAGAAGAGGGGCGAGGACAGGACAAAGTTTTCAAGCTTTGGCATTTCTGAAAAATGTCCCCCGCAGTTCTTATAATAACCAGGAGACCATTTCAAGATAAAGACAGCAGGATATTCACCCACGATCAGTTTTTCTGTTAGTATTGGCCCCATTTGTTTCTTTTGGATGTGTTTTCCTGGTCTTGGTGCTTCTGCAGTTTATGTTCTATCTAATTCAGGTGCCTGAGAGCTAGCATTCGACAAGTGGAATAGGGTTTGTGGCCAGTAACGTTGTAGTGAGTCTAAAGGTAAATGTAGATAAAACTGCCACCATATTACATTGAATCTGAGGTTCTATAAAAGAACAGGATGGTAAAAATTTGGAGCTGAACTCTACCTAGTTGACAACATGCCAGCTTTGAGATAGGAGAGATTAATGAGTTTGGAGAGAGGGTCCAAGGAAGATCTGTGGCTTGGAAAAGTTTTGGGAATTTGGTGAAAAGGATGGGGTAAGAAAAAGTAGCGGTTTTCCTTTCTCTCTTCCAGAGTTTTCTTTTCAGAGGCCTTAAGTTCTTGGCTGCAGTGATAATCCTTTTATCTGAATTTTACATGGAGGCTGAAACAGTCTTCATCTGTGACTCAAAGTCACTGGCATTGTCCAATTAGCAGAATTTAGACCTACAGGGGATGCCTGGTAGGTTGATTGCAGTGCAACACAAAAGGAAGTTGCTGGTAATTAGACTTGCCCAGCTCTGCTTAGGCTGCCTAGAGAGGATAACGACCTTCCCATTAAAGCACTGGATAGAAAGATTCAGGACACATGGAGGTGCCGGACTGTATGACATGAAGGGCTGCTTCTGGTCCTGGGACTCGGGAGTAATTGGCTTTTAGTTGTGAGGTTTCTTGGTGGCACTTAGGCCTGAAGGCTGAGACAGTAGAGGCTGTGATCAGGGGTTTCTGAAGCATCCATCTTTTCAGCCCCAGTCGTATATCTGATGGTCTTGGGCACCATATCCTTTCCAGACGAGGTAGCAGTGATGGTGTTCTTACGCCAAGTCAGGTCAGTAGCTTAGAATGTTCTGGATGACTTTCTAGATACTCCAGTGAACAACCAGAAAACAGTTTTTGTTTCTTTCCTTTATAAAAAAAATTTTTTCTAAAATATGTAAGTGCCTTTTAAAACTCACATTTGTATATTTCTGGGGTGAATGGAGCTTTTTAGGAGGTACCAGAGTTATCGTTCTGAGTGAATGTTAATGAAGTGCTCTCCTAGAAACAGTATGGCCTGAGAATGGAAACAATACAAGCTAAGGGCTGGAAGAAATCTGGTTATTTGAGACTCCCAGTTATTTGGGGGTCTGGTTAGCTGCGGTTTCCCCTTTTGCCTAAAGGCCTCTCTGTCGGTTTCATCTCCCTCAAGTGCTCAAGTGGTAGCTTCCTAGACTCTTGACTTGTAAAGTGTTGGTAGTTCCTTCTGAGATCTATCCAATGCTTTGGATACATTTTTTTTTTGTCCTGATAGAACTGAATCTGGTTTATACAGCACAATAATCACTTCCTCTTAAATATGTTTTCAGAAGGTCATCAAACAGCTTTCTGCCACTCCTTTTTCCAAAACTGTGATCTTTGATCTAAAAAAAATCTTCTGACTCTCCTTTTCAAAGTTGAAATGCGTTTATACATTTAAGCATGGTTCTGGCACTCCCTTTGACCTAGGCAGGCACATATGGGGTGTTATTTTTGTGTGTGACTAATTTACCTTAACTTTCACTCTGCAGCTCTATCACCTTTTGCCACATTCTTTGTTTGACTCTTTTTTACTATACTATAGAAGGGTAATTTGTACTCCAAAGGTATTTAAATATCACTGTCAAAAAACTCTGAATGGTTTTTGGGGTTTGATTAGACTTTATCTTAAAATCATTTTAAAACAACTTGACATGTGCTCCAACTGTGGGTGAATGTACCTATTTTTGTGGAAGGCAGGCTACTGAACACCTACCGGGCATAAAAACTAGGCAGGGAGTTGGGGGCTGGAGGAATGGTCCCGGCCCTCCGAGAAGTTCCAGGCCAGCGCCCAGGGTCGGTGCATGGGGCAGAGCCGCCTTGTTGAGTGGTCAGGGGGACAAGACAGAGGCAGCCAGGAGGGTGGGGAGGGGCTGTGGGGCTGACCCAGCAGCCCCAGGTTCTGAGTGGCATCTCTTGAACCCTCATCGAGTCCTGCTGCTTGACGTCAGCTCGTGACCCTTGAGGTCCTAGAGCTGGTTGTAACCCAACTGGGGGAAATAAGAGGATCAGAAGTGGGAAACATTTTATGCTGTTTGCCCACTTCTGCCACCTTACTGTACAGACGGTAAGCCTTATTTCTCATTTAGTTAGCTCTCATGTTATTATTAATTTTAATTAAAAAATTAATTATGGTAAAGCCTTCTGTTTCCATCTGTAACTACTAAAAGTTTATCAGAGACTTTGAGGGAGGGAACTGGAACATTTTAATATGTTAACCCTTGAGCCTGACGTTGAAATAGTTGTTTTCACCAGAGGCTGCAAAGCTAATATAAACCTAAGAAACAGACTCGTAGAGTCCCATATTAGCATATTATTTGCTATTATACGAAAATTTTAAGTTCTTTAAATTTAAAAAAAATTTTTTTAATTTTCATTTTCACCCCAGCTTGAACTTTTGATCCTGGTTTCCCTAGTTACTTTTAAAGTTACAGTAAATTACACTTGAAAGCTCTTCTTGTTAAAGCATCTTAATTGGCTTCTTACAGGAATATAGTCTTCATTTATCTTTTTAAGAAAAAACCTTGCTGCATTCTCTAGGGGTGCTGATTACTAACTAGGAAGATGTCTGTTTAGATGAGAAGGAAAGGCCATTAGCAAGTGAAGGAAGGGAACTTGGGTTTGCAGCTCTTGGTGGATGTGGGTTTAATCGCACCAATGTAAAATTCGGTGGCAAGCCACGGACTGTTTTAACACATGAAAGAAAGGTAAGACTGCTGCTCGAATACCAGTTTGACTTTATTATTTTCCTTTTTGTGTCAATTGTGTATCCTGCACTTTCTCACCGCACGCCCCCCCCCTGCCAGTGGACGCTCTCGGTAAGTCTGTCATCCTGAATCTCTGGTGGCTGGTCACGGTGTGGTCCTTACTGTGGGCTTTCCGTGGTTGTCCAGACCTATGCTAGTTGCCCCAGTTTTCCTGCCAGTTCAGAACAATCAATGGTGCCTACTTAATCTTCCATAACTTTAAGAAAACTCTGTGTGTGTGTGTGTGTGTGTGTGTTTCAGTCAATCATTTTCTTTCTTTGAAGTTTGGCCCTTTAATGGGTTAGCTCAACATTCTAGGAGTCTCTGCATCCTCATAATTCAGCATTAGACTCATGGAAAAAAGAAATACAGAGTGACTTAAACCCTCCCTTCCACGCGAAATAAATATAACTATACATACACATCTAGGTGTATATGTGTGTATTTATATCACAAACAAAACGTGGAGAGCTACACTAAATAACTCCTCAGAATAATTCCCAGATCGGATTTGGTTGTATTAAGCTTGCCACATATCTTTAACTTTGTCCCCCGAGGACCATATAGTTTTTTCAAAACCAACCATTTATTTTTAAAAAATCAAAAGTATTTCTTATTTCAGCAGAGTTTGTGGAATGCTTCATTTCAAAGGTATCAGATCTTCAAATTCAGTAAATCAAAATGGTTCTTCTTGACTGAAAATTGACCCTCATTCTGTGGGTGACAACGCTACTAAAAACCTCAAGTCGCTTTCGGTGTCTCGTGGCTGTCCCTGTGTCTCGGAAAGGTCTGTCTGTGAGCCGTCCGTGTAGTTTATCTTGCCTGAGTGTGCCCGAGTGTTCTCTGAGCCTTTGCATTGAGCAGCTCCAAAGAGTTTTTTGCGTCGGATTTTGTCATCTACGATGAACCCAAAGCACACAGGTCCCCTCTGACAGGTGCGGCTGGGATGACCAGCTGTCACGGGGGACACAGCTCTGCCTCCCTCCCGTCACGTTGATGTTGGGGTAGTGTCCCCCACCTTTTTTTTTTTTTTTTTTTGTAAGATGCTGTTGTTTTATTTTTATTTATTTTTATTTTGTTTTGCGGTACGCGGGCCTCTCACTGTTGTGGCCTCTCCCGTTGCGGAGCACAGGCTCCGGATGCGCAGGCTCAGCGGCCATGGCTCACGGGCCCAGCCGCTCCGCGGCATGTGGGATCCTCCCAGACTGGGGCACGAACCCGCGTCCCCTGCATCGGCAGGCGGACTCTCAACCACTGCGCCACCAGGGAAGCCCAGTGTCCCCCACCTTTTAAAGGTGATAATTCTCTCCAGTCCTCAGTGTTGTGGTTCAGAGACAGCTTGAACAGTTTTTAGTGCACCTTTGGGAGGAAGGTAAGACACAGCCATTCTTTTGCTTATCGTGATAAAATTCATATAACATAAAATGCACTGTTTTAACCATTTTAAAGTGTACATTTCAGTGGCTCTAGCGCATTCTCAATGCTGTGCAACCATCACTACTAATTTCAGAACGTTTTCATCACCCCAGAAAGAAATCCCTTTCCTTTTAAAGCTGTCGTGCCCCATTCTCCCTCCCCCAGCCCATGACAACTGTTCATCTGCTTCCTGTCTCTGTGGATTTGCCTATTCTGGACATTTCTTATAAAGGGAATCATACGGTATGTGGCCTATTTGAGGACTCAGACTTTTACTAGAACCTTTGCTTGAAAGCCTGGCATGAGTCTGTGGAGTAAATGGGGCATGCTGTTTGTTTTAAGTGACGGACAGTAGGATTAGGGATGAGTAAAGGAACCACACAGCCTTTTGTGACTTAGATTCTGCTCATCTTAGGGAGAATCTCTGCAGCCCCTCTAGTTCTCTGTCTTGCAGGGGCCGTTCACAGGGCTAAGCCACAGTGGCATGTGATGATAGCAGTGAACTCGGGCGTAAAAACTTCGGAAAGCTGTGTGGCTTGAGGCCCTCATAAATTTCAGTTTACAAGTTTTACATCATGTTTGAACCTGGAGATCTGTATTTTAACCAAGTTTCATGGTAGTTAAAATGTCCTGGTTTAACAAAAGAAGAAAATAATACGTATATACAGAACTTTCCCTCCGTCAGTTAGAAGTATTTACCTTGAATCTTGCATAAGCAATGACTGGGGGCCTCCACAGGGGAGAAATTTACAACTCAATAAAGTGTACTGAGCCAGGGATACACTGCTCCCTCCAGGAATTGAGACTCTAGTGGAAGGAAACCAATTATAGTCGTTCCTCGGTATCCGAGGGGCATTGGTTCCAGGACCTGCCTCAGACTATGCGATGCTCAAGTCCTCCATATCCACGGTTCCGCATCTGCGAATTCAAACAAGGATTGTGAACATAGTGCACAATCCATGGTTGGTTGAATGCGGAACCTGTGGACTTGGAAGCCGATTCCATATATATCAAAAAAGATCCATACATAAGTGGACCCGTGTTCAAACCCGTGTTGTTCAAGGGTCAGCTGTAGTTTAATCTGGTGAGCTCAGCACCATGATGAGTATAAGCGGAAGGCGTAGCAGCTGGGCAAGGCGCAAGGAACCCATGCATGCTTGGTGTGGGTGGGTGATGAGGAAGATGAAGAGGGGTCAGCTGGTGGAGAATGGGACGAGGGCTGCTCAAGGTAGAGGGGACAGTGCGAGCCCTCACCATTGAGACGGGAGCACCAGAACCGTGGGAAAGGTGACCATGCTGCGGAGGGGGAGTGCAGGTGATACCCCAAGTCACCTTTTGGGGAGACTGACAGTTCCATCTTGGGTGGACTGAGAACCACAGTGACACCCCGTGTCAGCCTCAGCTACCTGCCTCCAGATGGTTCTGTCACTCGGCCCCATTTCTGATCAGACCCCATACCGGACTCAGCTTCTCCACCCATCACCCTTCTTTTCTTCCGTGCGGAGAAAGCAAAAAGCCTGTGCAGTGCTGAAGCCTTTCCACTGGTGCAGTGGTTTCCGTGGCCCCTGGCTGCATCAGGGTGAATGTTTGCATTTCCTCACCCATTTCTTCTGTGCTTACAAAACTGGCAAAAACCATTCTCAGGATGCCCCAGAAACTGCAGTCAACGAGTGGATCACTCTCCCTGCCTCAGTGGTGAAAACTGAGTATGTCTCAGCCACCTCCATCCACTCCCCCTTTGGGTTTTGAAAAGGAGTAGCACTGGGAGCCCCCCTGCCCGGAGGGAACTCCCACCTACAAATCTGAAGTCTGGGTTATCTGTTCACGGATCAGCTGACTTTCTCGCCTGGCACAGTGCAGAGGCTTCTTTGCTCCGTTCCCACTGCCGAGTTAGGGGAGGTGGAGAAGAAGCAGACTGCTCAGAAGGTGGTGTGGCCTGCACAAAGAGACCCTCTCAGCGGTTAACCCCATCTGTCATGGGTGTGCCTCCAGGAGTGGTCAGGAATTGTCATGCCCCCAGGACCTCCTGGGCCCCTGGAGTCAGCATGGAGCCAGGGGTGGCCCGCCTTGTATTGCCGGTGATCTAGGTTGCAAGACCCAGCCCTGGAAGAAGGCAGCGACCCCCAGAAATCTCCTCTGGATGTTTTCTCCGACCACCTCCCCGTGATGCGTGTCAGCTGTCTGCAAAGGGACAACCGAAAATAACAGCGGTCCTTTCTGAATGCTGACGTGAGGTGGTGAAAAGAGCTGGTCCATGATTCCAGGCGTCTTCCCCACTTCCCGCTCACCTCCAGTGGGCATCACTGGAGGGGGATGGATTGCCACACCAGTGCGATTGGGAAAAGGGTACTTTGAGCCCAAAGCAATGATTGTTCTCTATTGGAACTAAAGCTGGAAAAGTTCCTTCTGAGGTCAAGGGGGTGACTGTAAATGCAGACGGGTGATCGCTTAGACCTCCAGGGGTTGCTTGACCACTTGTATGTAGCCTTGTGGTCTTTCTGGATATTTAGATGCAACTGCACGTAACGTAGCAGGGAAGATTATTGAGTCACTGCTTCATTCTAGGCTTGGGAAAGGTGTTATAGGAGTGCACACATTTAATTATGCAGGAAATGATGGAATGGGTACAGTTTTACTAAATGGGGCAACCTGTGTGAAATGGACTTTTTAATGAGTCAGTGTTAGAGAACCACAGCCCGACATAAGGTTCTGGCCCTAGAAATGCCAGGTAAAGCAGTCTGCAGAGCAAGGAGAGAGAAGGGAGAGGTCAGTGGGTGATGGCAGCCGACCCTGCCAGCCTGTGCTAACGGGCCGATGGGGGAAAAGCATAACGAAGGGGCAGCCCGACTCCTCCTATCTTAGTACAAGCAGCAGCGGTCAAACTTTACTTTTTAGACCCCGGGTGGCATTCGGAACGCTGTACCTAACTGCAGTCAATAGAGATGTTGGAATCTAACCCAAGAAGTTCCTGAAACGGACGGTTGCATTTTGGGATGAAAGCATGTAGTCCTCGGAGGCCAGGGGACTCATTCGTCATACTTCACACCAGGGCATTCTAGGTAAAAACAGACCGAACAGATCCCCCCGAGGCCCAGAGCTGCGAGCTCCCTTCCTCCGCAGAGCTGGTCTCTGGGAAAGCCTCGCCCCGACGCAGCTCATCAGGTGCCTTGCTTGTGACTCTAGCTGCAGGTGGCTCATTGCGGAAGTGGAAACAGATGCCCTGAAACGTCCCTGTGCGTGACGAGACTGTTGTCAAGGTTTGGAGCGCCTGGCTTCCCTGTGGCTGCATTTAGAAGCTGGGAAGATGCATTTACAGTGGGGGGGAGGGGGCAGGGAGAGCGCCCAGCAGGAGCCCAGTGCTTGTCTCCCTGTTAATTTTGCCGGAGGACAAAAAGGACGACATGGTTGGAATATCCATTCCTTGCACAACGTGGTTTTGATTTACCCCGGGAACGCTGAGCCAGTGGTGCGGGTGCAGGACTGGGGGTGTGGTCCTGCCTTTCTTGAGTTGCAAGCCATTCACAGTTTTCGGGGGGTTTATTGCTTTACTTCCGGCGCCTCTCTTTCATTCATACATCCCCAGTGACCGCCGCAGAGGAGCCCTGTGAGGCAAGCGCGCATCTTCGCTCATTCAGGAAGTAGATATAAAGTGCCTC